GCAAGGTGCTATTCTTGACCACAGCCTGGTGTCTCCTATCTCTTCTGTGCTTTACTGGTCTCCTGTTCATGTGTGTGTCGTGTGGGTGCTAGACTCACTCCCACAGCTTCCTATTTTTTAGAATTGTTGTTGTGTAGGGTTTTCTTGGTTCTGGTCCTAGGACTTGAACTCAGAGCCTGGGCACTGCTCTGTTCCTGAGCTTTTGTGCTCAAAGCTAGAACTCTACCACTGGAGCTGCAGCTCCACTTTTGACTTGTTGGTGGTTAATTGGAGATAAGAGTCTCAGGGACTTCCGTGCCCCAGCTGGCTTCAAACCATGACCCTCAGATCTCAGCCTCCTGGGTAGCTGGGATTACAGCGTGAGCCACTGACTAACTTTTATGGTTTAAGCAAGGCATGCCGAGCCTAGCATGTGGGGTTTTAGAGAGTGCCCGGCTCAGCGTGTGGTGTGGGATGGATGCAGGGGGACTTCAAGTGGAGGAAGGAGTCGCAAGCGGACAGCAGTGGTGCCATCTGAGCAAGTTGGAACCTGTCAGATGGTGGCTCCCTGGAGATATCTGCAGGTCTGCCCGTCTCCACACTACCCACTGTGCTGGCAGGATGAGGCCAGAGGCTGGGCGAAAAAGATGGTGTCCAGTCATCCCTGTTCTCCAGCTGTGTGCACATCCCCCAGCACCCTCCAGACAGGCTTTTCTGTGATCTGACCTACTTTGTTTCAGTATGTACTTGGGTAATTAGTAGCTCTGGGGGTCGAGTGACTGGCTGTGCTGGGAGAGCCCTGCTGCTATGGCAACTAGCATACCTGAGGCTGGAGGCAGGGTGGATGGCTAGGGTTGAGGCTGGACCCGGAGAGGGGATGGTGAGGAAGGGAGGAGCAGCTGGGCTTGGGCAAGCAGAGTCACCCGTGTGCATTTGCCAGATAACTGGAGGACAGGAGAGCAGCTGCAGCCTCTGCGCTGGCCGGGACCTGGCCGGGTGGGGGCTCAGCTTGACTGAGGGAATTAACGAACGGGTGACTGCACTGCTGCTTACATTTTAACGCTTAGAAAGAAACCTGGGCTTTCTTATTGTGTAAGTTTGTGATATGATCTAACTTTTATGAATGACTTAAGACCAGGGAGGGAGGAAGAGAAAACATAGGTGGGTTTGGGATAACAGAGGTTTTAACAGGAACCCTAACACAGGGATGGCTATACTGCTTCAGGGACTCTGCAATGTCTCTCTGTTCAACAGCCCTGGACTGCTGTGGACTAGTTTCCTCAGTCTGACTTAGAGCCTTCCTGCTTTCTCCCGTTTAGTTATGTGTTCTTTCTGATACTGGCAGTCTGTCCTAAGCAGTGCCTCTCAGTTCAGACGGCTGTAGCAAAAATGCCATAGAATAGGCAGCTAAATGGCAAATTACTATTTCTCCTGGCGCCGGAGGCTGGCAGGAGGAGATGTGGAAGTCCAAGGTCAGGCTCTGGCCTCCCGTCCCCTTCCTGGCTTACAGATGGGGCTCTTCTGGCTTACTTTTCACAGTGGTGGTGGGGGAGGGGGAGGCCTCAGGCCCTTTCTCTTTTTGTCAGGACATGAATCCCTGGGGGAGAATGATGGGAGGGATGATTTTAGTCCAGATGCATTGTCCTTACAAACTCTCTCGTTGACTCGAAACCCCTTTGTACAACTACTTAAAGATTTCTTTAAAGGATACGGAACCCATCATGGGGGGGGTGGTGGTGGTGGCTATAATCCTAGCTACATAGGAGGCTGAGATCTGAGGATAGCAGTTCAAAGCCAGCCTAGGCAGGAAAGGCTGTGGGGTTCTTATGTCCAATTAACCACCAGAAAACCAGAAGTGGAGCTGTGGCTCAAAGTGGTAAAGCACTATCCTTGCGTGAAACAGCTCAGAGACAGCATCTAGGCCCCTAGTTCAAGCCCCACAACCAACAAAAAGAAAAAAAAAATCCTCTTGTTTCCATTTCTTAGAGTTCATTTAGATAAATATTATTCTGTATGATCTGATATGCCCAGGTACTGTGCCTTTCTGTTCCTTTCCTAACAGTGTCCTCTCTTAGTCTTCCTGTGTGTGAGTGCCTGGAGTGTTCACATGAGCATTTCATTGCAATGGCCCCTTGCTTCCTTTGTAGCATTCTACTTAGGGAACAAACATTTCTTACAAAGAAGGATCCTGGGCTTTCATAGATGGTATTTCATTTACTTTCCTCAATACTTTGAAAAGTAGACAGCTCTTTCTTTGTCAAACAGACAAAGAAGAGGAGATGATTGGTTCAGGGCTACATAGCCAATGAAGGAGAAGTTGAGAACTCTGGTTTCATTCCAAAGCCCTCCCTTGTTTGTCAAGAACAACCCCTACTTACCTAACGGTAAAGATATGTTGATGGATATACGATTCTGCAGGTCATGCAAAACTCAGAATTTATCAGGCAAGTTCTAATAGTGGTTGTGTGATGAGTTTTGGGGCTGAAGCCTGGGAATGCTGGGACTCTTGCAGCCACAGTACAACAGACTTGGCCATCTGTACCAATACACAGAAGAGACAGGAAAAGGTGAAGGATGAAGGAAGATTCAATCGACATGGCTACGTTAGGAAGAACAGAGAAAGAGGTTCAAGTGACCCTATGTCCTTCTTCAAGGTGTTAGGAACCTTGAGATTGTATAGAAAAGGGAGATGATATAGGGGGTGGGGCATGCTTAGCTGACAGAGATGTAATGTTGGTCAGGACAGTGGGTAGATCCGTCAGTTCTGGTTCTGCAGAAGTTGCTGCCGGTGTCATCACTTGAGGAGACTGACCTGGTTCAGTCTTTGGCCCTAAAGATGTTCATTCATCAGTCCCGTGGTTCAAAAATGAAAGAGGAAAAAAAGTGCACCAGAGGGAGACAGAATGGAGTGCTGCCTTCCTTGGGCTCCTCATTTTTCTCCACATATTTTCTTAGTATCATTTGTAGCTGAAGTCCCTCCCCTGCAGGGCCAGAGAAGGGGTTTTCCTTCTCCAGGATAGTCTAGATGATTGTGTAGGAGCTTTGCAGTGCCACAGGAAGAGGTTCTTTGGCTCCCCCTTCTGTGGATAAACTCCAGAAGATCTGTTTTCTTGGGGGGGTGGGGGGCTAAGACTGGTGGTAGAATGACAGCAGTGACAGTGAGTGATGGCTTCCCTGGGCGGTGCTTTCCAAAGCAGCCTGCATCACACCATTGGTGACAGTTACCTTCCCTGAGAGACTGACAGAGAATCATTAGCTACTTTCATATAAATGCAAAAGTAAATGCTTCTTGGAAATTTCGCATCATCGAGTCCTGGGAATCCGTTTTGATGGACCCGTGTTTTGTTTGACATTGATTAAAAAAAAGAAAAAAAAAAGAGCAGAGGAAAGTCAGCCAGCCCACCATGAAATTTCAGAGCTGTCCTAACATTGTGAATGGAAATTCCAGATGTGCCTGTCCAAACATCCCTGGCCATAGTTTTAGCAAACATTCTGTGCCGGGGAGGGAATTTTAAAATGCCTCAAGTAGTTTTATTTAGATGCATTTCAGGCCGAATGTCCTATGCCTGAAGAAATGGTGAGAAAAGCCTCCGGGTTTTCAGCCTGCCCACATGGGGTTCTGTGGGAGCGCAGTTGTTGGGAGCTGTGTTTGGAGTTCCAAACGCTGTCGTGCTGACAGCAGAGGGGCAAGTCTAGGCCTCAGGTGTGGCTCCAAACCTCACCTGTGAGGGAAGGGAATCCTTCTCTGGAGCCTCTAAGTAAGAAGGTCCAGGGGTTCAAGCCCAAAGACAGAAGAATAAGAGTTGGGCACTGAGCGTCAGAGCCGGTCCTGCAGGCCAGGCTGCCTTGCATGTCACCGGGCTCTGGGTGTTGTCCGAGGCCCCTTGCTGGCCCTGTCCAGGGTGAGTCTTCTTACAGGGCTTCTGTTTGTGAAGTCTGGCCAAAGATGGTGTTGCAGGCCCAGCCCCTGCTGGCGGCCCGGCTCCCCAGCCCCCCCTCTCCACCCCAAACACAGCCCACAGCGCCGACTGCGCAGAACAAAGGTATCCTTGAGGCCTCGCCTTGGCTGGGGGGGGGGGACGGGACTAGGAGCCTCCACCCACCTGCAGTCCAGGAGGCAGAGGTGGGCAGTTCTCAATTTCCAC